TCCACACACTTGCCACCAGCCTCTAAGGTGACGTGGCACAAAAGTACTACCATACATCAGGGAATCTTGCACTGGAGAGTGGCTGACCAAACCGGTCAGGTTCTCCAGCTGGAGGACAGACAGAAAAAAAAGCCAGAGCACCCTTTCGCCCTGGGTACAGAAACAGCAACACAGAGACAGGCCAGAAAGTGTTAGAAAATATAAGCAAGGGGCAGCCTAGACTGTCCTAGAAGCCAAAGGTAGATGGGAAGAGGAGAAACAAGAGGGATATTAGCTGACATAATAGAAGCAGAGACAGGGAAGAGTTGAGCTGCCAGTGCAGGACCAGAGAACAAGGGCCAGGGATATAGCTCAGTGGCACAAGCACCTGCCTGGCAAGTGCAAGGTCCTGAGTTCAATTCCTGGAACCAAAAAAAAAAAAAAAAAAGGATCAAAGAACACCCTGAACCAGGGGAGCGATAAGAAACCCTATGCCCACTCTGTGCCCTGCCCTCAGCCCCCAGTGCTGGGACTACTGTATGCAATCTAATCTCTAGGACATCTGACTGCTCTTTACTGAGTTTTGGAATGAGAGGTCAAGACTGTCACTCACTTTTTACCACTTTTCCTAACTTAAATCTCCCATTTCACTTTTTGTTTCTTATAACCTTGAATTTATCTCACTGAAGTATCTAGAGAGGTGGAGACAGCAACCTGCATATCACACCTGGAAGCCAAGGGTAGAGAATGCTTCAAGAAGGAAATGGCCGATCCTGTCAGCTGTTGCAGAAGGTCCAAGGAAGGTGGGCACTTTAAAAGTAACAGTAAAGATCTGCCGACCAAAAAGTGAGCACTGGATGAGAGGAGAGGGAGCAGTTTCCAGAAACGGCAACAAGTACAAGAGGTGAGGCCAGAGAGCCGTAGCAATGACACTTTGAAGAGGCTTAGCTGTCAAGAGGAAGGGTGACCGCGCCCTGAGGAGGTGCTGTGAAGGAGTGGGAGGGATTTTTTAAGATAAGATGTTTTGACGTATGTAAATGCTGGTGGAAACAGGAAACTCATGAAGGTAAGGATGGAAACTTTTCAAAGGAAAGAAAACAATGGAAGGGACAAAGTTGCTGAGGACACAAGTGCCCGGACAGAGGAAATAACCTGATGTAGGAAGAGGGAAGGAGAAGGCTGCTGTGGGCGCATAGAGGCTCTATCAGGAGGCCACTGCAAAGGGTTTTTCTGTAATGGGTTCTATTTGCTGAGTGAAACGGGAGACGAGATTATCCACTGAGAGGGAAGAGGGAAGAGGCAGGCTAACAGCTTTGAAAGAGAGAGTATTTGTAGTAGTCGTTTCGGAGAATGGCAGCGAGATCTGACGGAGAAAACGTTGCAGGATGACGGGTCGGAGCCGAGGGCTCCGCTGAGATCAAGGGTCACGAATTCGGGATGCCGCTCAGCTGCGGTTGTGTATGATTTTCTCCAGCCTTCCTCAGCAGGGCAGGCACAAGCAGCAGAATCACTGGTAGTTGAGAATAATTCAAAGTGGAGGACAGGAGGCCAAGGGAACCAGAAGTTAAAGGCGAAAGGGAGAGAATGAGTGAGGAAATGGGCCGTAATCCCTGCTCTGGCTGCAGACAATGAAGATGCGCAGGGCGAGGGGAAGCAAATGTGAGCACCAAGCAAACTCGGAAGCTCCGAGAACTGCACTTTGGGAGGAAGAGGTAAAGGTCTGGAGCTGTAAGAGGCTGGGGAGATTTGAAGATTTTATGGGAGCATCGCACTGTCCCCCATTAATATTAATATGTACAATTAATACGTTAATAAATTTAACATAGTTGAGAGTTGGAGAAGTTCTAAGTATTGGAAGGTGCAGATAGGACGTGTGTGTTTCTGTGTGTGTGAGTGTGAGTGTGTGAGTATGACTGTGTGTGTGTGTGTGTGTGTGTGTGTGCGCGCGCGTGTGCGCGCGCGGGCCCTCTTTCTGTGGGAAAATTGCCCTGTCATTACAAGTGGTCCTGACGAACAGTTCGCGTCATACCTCACCCCACCCCACCTCACTGGTCACCTCCTGGCTCCAGCGAGTGGCTCCAGGCTGAGTACAAGGATTCAGGGGCGGGAATAGGGTCTCCTCCTCTCAGCTCATGGGCTGTAAGGACCATCTTTCCTGTCAGCATGGATGAACCCTTCTGCAAAAGGAAAAAGCAAAGCCAAAATGCAAAGATAAGCAAAAGCAAGTAGAAATAAGAGAGGGATAGAAGTAAAAAGAACCCAGACAACAACTTTTGAATCCCCAGTTCTGGCCACATTGAGGGTAGTCTACACCTGAACCTTTCAAATGAGCCCTTATGGTTCTCTTTTCAGCTCAAGATCGTCTACATTTCATTCCTTCCACTGCAATCTAGGGTGACAGTGGCTGAAGCAAAGGGAGGAAAAATGTATGAGAACTGAGAAGGCCCAGGAATGAAGGAGGAGGTTACCTGGGTTGGCCTCACAGACATTAATTAACACCCAAAATGAAGACACTCGTGGGGTGGAGAAGACCAGTATCACTTCTGCAAAAGTCTAAATAAGAATGGACAAGATGCTACTGGGTAAAACCAGTGGGAAATTACGCATTTCTTAGCAGGAGCTTCAAAACAGTGGTGGTTTTTGTACAAGGGTGAAAGCATGAATAACAGCATGGACATCCTCTCAGGGAAAGAGAAGCATCCAGATCCCACCTGCTAATGAGAAGCTAAGTGGAGTGCATGATAATGTAGCCAGGATCGCTACTCTAAACTGAGAGATGACTTCCAGGTCAGAGGTTGTAAATGAGACTCCACTTCTAAGTCCTAACTATTATTATAATGTCACTATTAACAGCTCTTTGACCCAGCACCCCTTGACCTTGAACCGCTTGCTCTTCCTCTGTAAAATAGACTATAAAGTAAACCTGGAAATTTAGGTAGATCATGGGCTTACATTTCCCCCCCGAACCATTTTATACATATATTATGATGTCTTCAATGACCTAAACAGTACCCCAGGAGCAATTTCATTTGTGTGTTTGGTAGAAGAGTTACTTTAAATATTTTAAGACCTTATCTAAAACTCTCATCAACCTAATGCCAACTCTGGAATGAGTGTCATGGAGGGAAAGCCAGCAGCCAACTGGCATTTCAACAAGGAGGGAAATGGCTTCACTAATGGACTTTCAACTCCAAATGACAGACAGTTAATTTGCATATGAACTATATACATATACAGAGTTTATTTTTTCATCCCTCATGCCCTTTCTACTAAAAATCTTGTGTTACATTAAAATATTTTAAATATTCCTGTTGTATTAAATATCATTGTGTATATGCTTGAGTCATATAGTGGAAATAGTATGTAAACATGTATTTGGATAAATGGAATGTAATAAAGGGAAAGTTCAGTACTAACCACTAGGCACCTTTTCCAGGAATCTGGACACATAGTGAATGATAAATCAAAAACATAACACGTTCATGCTTTTAAATGGTACTGTTTAATATATCTTTGGTAGTGTGGGAAATAAATTTCCAGAGAAGAATATTAAATTTATTAAAGATTGTATTTGCAGAATGAAAACTGAGAAAATATACAAAAACACCCACCCACGGCACACACCCCAGTGACTACATTTGTGGATGCCTGTTCCGGGGACATGGTGAGGTCACTCTCTCCACTTAAGCAGAGGTGTGGGTCCAAAGCAGCAGCTGCAGCATGCAGAGATTGTAGGGTTAGGATTACAGTTTAGATTAGGGTTAAGGTTAGGATTAGGACCAGGGTTAGGGTCAGGGTCAGGGTCAGGGTCAGGGTCAGGGTCAGGGTCAGAGTTAGAGTTAGGATTTGGCCTGAGACTGTAGACATCTGCCTGAAAAGCTTCAGGCTGCCCCTCTGACCTCTGATGGGTTTGGACCTCTGATGGGTCCAGCTGGTGTCCCCAGTCAGGGCTGGAGGGAACATTTGCTCACTAGCAGAATGCACCTTACACCAACCTTGCACACCAAGGAATAAGCTGGACAGAGGGCCTGCCCCCTTGAGCAGAGCTGTGGTCACTCTCCCTTGAAAGCCCATCATCCAACATGTAAGTGTCACTCCTTTACTTTCATTTATATTTTTCATTCTGTTTTTCACAGCCTACATGTATTAGATAGCAATGTCACTCAAAGAAGTTCTTTGCTTTCCTCCCATTTGATCACTTACACTGGTCACAAACCAAATTGGGCAGGAACCAAATCAAATTTCCCCATGAAGTCAACATTGAACCTAACTGTTAAATTTGATTTGATTCTTGTCCAATTCAGCTCGCAACCAAAATTGTGGAAAGATCTAAGTTCATGAATTGAAGCTCCACTGTATCTTGAACAGCACTGTGGATTCTTGGGTCTTTAATTACTGAAAGATTAACAACCAAAGGCATTACATTGATCAAGCTTAAAAATTAAAATTAAAGAACACCATCTAGTATTGAGTCTACATTCAAGTTTACTCAATTGTTGCAAGAATATTTATGTGCTTTTTAATCTAATCTAGTCTCAAACTTCGTAACTGATTACACTGTCTCTTTACACTCTTTTAGCCCAGGAGCACCTTGTGCCTTGTTTGTGACGTTGACTTTCTGACATCTCAGAAAGAGTTAGTTGTACATTTGTCATTTTCCCTTAATGTTGTGGTGTGCTAGATCTGCCCTTCGCTTTAATAACACATTACTGATTCTTTCAGAAACTATAAAAAGTACATTTCATGTGATAACCATAGAATTAATTATTCAAAAGAGATAACACATTTTCTCAATGATATTTGCTTGGTTTGATTTGGTCTTGCAGTCCTAGATATTGAATCCAGGGCCTTCACAGTGAGCTGATTCTCAGCCCATTTCTTTTACTTTTTTATTTTGAGACAGGAGTCTCCTTAAGTCATTAAGTTGCCCAGGCTGGGCTCAAACTTGCAACCCTCCTGTCTCAGCCTACCAAAGTGGTGGGTTCACAGGCCTGCATCACCATGCCCAGCTCTCACTGACATTAAGAATATGGTTTTCTAAAAAATATTTGTGAAATAGAAATTTAAAAGATAATAGAGAGTTAAAATAAAATCTCAATCCTGGGAAATCATCTTTGCTGCAAGTGTTCTTAATGCATTGGTGAATAAAATCACACAGGATTTCTTCACCTTACAGGTTTGGGTTAATATGAAGGTTTCATCCTTCACATTCCGAAGTCAGGCAGGTGTGATGGAACATGCCTATAATCCCAGCTGAAGTAAGAGAATAGCAAGTTTGATGCCAGCCTGGGCAACTCAGGAAGACAATTTTCAAGACAAAAGAAAAGAAGTAAATTAAAATTTTAAAAAAAGAGCTGGGAAGGTAGCTCAGAGCTGCAGCATCAGCCTCGCATGTGTTAGGCCCTGGGTTCAATCTCCAGCACAGGCAGGAAAAAGTACTGAGGTTACCCCTGTTCAAAAGTTCAAAATTACCACCAGATACAGTCTGGTAGCAACATTTAGAACAAAGTTTCTTACTGAATCTCAGACCTCTGCATAGTTTATCCAAACAAATTAGTTGCTTTGCTTTTTAAAGAATAAAAAAGCAGAATGCACTCATCACTCTGTTATTTTGGGCCATTAATTGTTAGTCACAGGAATGTTTTCCTTCCTTGCACAGGCATTTCTACCAGCATCAAGATGCGGAAGAAAACGAGACAGTGGGGTAGAAGAGGCACAGCCCTTGAGGCAGAGCCACCGTGCTGAGCATCCTGGCTCCATCACTAACAGACTGCCACCTTTGGGAGCTCCAGAGGGGTTGTATAATAAAAGCACTAAATCTTCTCCATGTCCCCTCATCTGATGATGACGCTTTGTGTACCTGTACTGAAATGTCACATTGTATTCCATAAACTGTCACACCTTTTATGTGTCAAATAAAAAAGTATACGTCAAAAATAATTTTTAAAAAGCTTCTCCACATGGTCATTATGAGAATTAAAGTGGCCAATAAAACACCAACTCAACATGCACTTGCACTTGGAGACCAACAATGTTAATGCATCATCCCATTCCCCTATCTAGTGAAACTCTCAGTCTCCAAGTGCTAGCAAATTAATAATAGGTGTTTTCCATGTTAAACGTTTATCTAGGATGCACTTTGAAGATCCTTCTCTGCTCATTATGCATTCTCACTGTACCATCAGTGTGTGCAATATTCACACACTGATCAAATTTCAAAGATATGAGGCACTTGTGAACTTGAGACTTGAGTCCACCTCTTAGCTGTGCCCTCCTCTAGAAATAACAGGGTTCAATGAAGAAGCTTCCGGTGGCCTTGTGGATGTCTGTCCTGCCCAGTAGTCATGTCTGTAAGGCAGGTACAGGCCACAAAACAATGCCGATGTGAATGGATCAGTCTTTCAAGATGTTTGATGATCTCATAGTCAGGAAGAGCCAGAGTGGTCACATTCAAGCCCAGCATCTGGGAGACCACTTCCCTGAAGTCTACCAGCTGCAACAGCAAACAGAAACACATTAACAGGGAGAGCAAATGTAGCAGCTACTGCTGGGGCAGATGCAATAACAACAAATTCTGGAAAATACAGATTTTCCTGAGGTAGGAAGATTGATCTACCCACGTTGGCCTTTTTCTGTCATTTATAAATAGGCTTGCCTGCTAAATGCCTTCTGAAATCTCCTCAGATATCAACCTAATAACTACCTATAAGATTCTGATGAGCCAATTGGTGGCAAATTGGATACTAAGTCAAGAACCCCAGTTAAGGAACCACTAATGAGGTTCTGATCTTACTAAGATTCATTTTCAAACCACCATGGGTGTATTAACCAAATATGTACCTGTCTGAAATTCAGAGCAAAGGAAATGATGACTGTGTACACATTCCACATACTAGAAAGTACTGTACAAATGTTGGCATGGCTGTGTCACTGGATGACAACCATTTCTGCATTGGAATTTTACCAGGGTAGTGATCTTCATAAACAAAAGGGAGAACAAATAAGAAAAAGGGATGAGCAGGGGAAGACAAGAGGAATTCTAAATTACTATCAAATCACAGCACAGACTACTGTGTGAAAAACCAGAACGTGATTGGTATGGGACCACTGCTTGTCCATCTCGAGAGCAAAGCTGGTATAGAGGCACATCCCTGTGATCCTAGCATGCTGGGAGCTGAAGGCAGGAGGACTGCAAGTTCGAGTCCAGCCTGGGCAACTTAGTGACTTAGTGAGATCCTTTCTCAAAATAACTTGATTACAAAGGGCTGGGAATATAGCTCAGTGCAAAGGCTCTTGGGTCGATCCCTAGCACCACCAAAAGTGGGCGGGGAGGAGGGACAGTCAGGGAAAATGGTTGCAGTATGCTCCAGACCCCTTCAAGTTCTCCTAGTCCAGTTTCTGTGGTTCTAAGGCTAATGCAGAACAAGATGAGTCAGGGTTATCTGGACAACACCTCCAGAAGGTACCTTCCACCTAGAAAAGGTATGCTCCAACCTGAGATGGAGCTACATTAAACATCACCAGACAAACATGGTTCATTCACTTCCCAGACACCTTCCATACAGAGTACAACTGGGAAACATAACGTTCTCTCTGCCCACTTTGGGTGGGCTGTTCACACACTCCCCTGACCTTCACGTTACAGTGTGATGGTATCAGGAGGTGGGGCTTTGGGCGTTAATTAGGTTTACAGGGGTAGTGTTGGTGTAACCCCCATTATGGGCTTAGAATCCTTATCAAAGAGGCCCCAGAGAGCTGTCTTGTCCCTTCTAACACGGGAGGACTCGGCAAGAAGCTATCATGTCTCGACCAGATGCACACTCTGCCGGCACCTTGATCTTGGACTTGCCAGCCTCCAGAACTCTGAGAAATACTTATCTTGTTTATAAGCCTCCTGATTTATGGTATTTTATTATAGCACCTAAACGGACCAAGACACCATAGTCTCCCAGATGAAAAAGTTTCCCTCGAACTTTCCCAACCTTTTGAAGGAGGTCAAAGATCTTAATTCCTGAGATGTTTCCTTTTTGAGAACATTTGTTCATATAGTTTGGCTTTCCCCAACTCTGCCTGACACATGAGCCAAAGTAGGGGCAGCCAAAGAGGAAAAAAAAAAAATCCCAGGACCAGAGTCCACTCGCTACCCTTTGAGCTACAGAAAGAGAGTGACACATGAAAGCCAAAGGCACTGGGGTCAGGCTGCCCGGGACATATTTCTTTATGCCTGACCTGATGTGCTCGCCAGATAAAATGCTCCTCCTTGCAACTGGCCAATTAATACTTTTTTATGGCTTACATCTGTGCTTGGTTGACCATGAGTCTGGGTGACACCGTTTGAGATGGGAGACTGTTTCTTGCAACTGATCTCCACAAGAGATAAAGCTCCTCGCTCCCCACACCCCAGGCACAAGCCCTGCTTAACTTAAAAAGATCTGGGATGATGCAATCTCCAGAGACAATCACCAAACATCGTAAAAAACCTCACCACCACCAGGCCCTGGTTGTTCACTGCTTTTCCACAACCTTGATTAAAAAAAAAAAAAAAAAATTCTTTTTCTTTTTCTTACAATCCAAGCCATGCAGCCATGAATTGCTTTTCTAAGCAGGATAAATCATCATGGCTAATGCCAAGACGGTGCCACAGAGTGGGTAGCTAGATTGAGGCAGTATAGAAAGCTTTATAGATTGTTTTTGAAAAAAAATGTGAATGATGCTCTTTTTGACAGCACAAATACTAAAATGGGAATGACTCCCACAAGATTAACGCGTCCCCTATGCGAGGGTGACACTTGAAGCCTCGTGTGTCTCATTTTCAAGCTTTTGAACTGTCCTGTCCTTCCACAACCAGCATTTCAGCACCAGGTTTGTGCCTACCTGTTTTTCTCTCTTTTCTGCTTCTTCCAGAGACTTCTTTAGCGTCTTCATTTCACTGGTCACCACTTCTATCACGTTTCTCGCCCTTTCCTTCTCCTCCTTCGCCTCATGCTCTGCGGTCCCCAGCTCTGACTGGGCAGACATCAGCTTTTTCTCAGCTCTCTCCTTCATCCTCTCCAGCTTGTCTCTGGATCTGTTTAGGTCTTCAATGGCTTTGGTCTGTTCCAAAGTTTTAATCTAGGAAGTCAGGGGAAGGCAGATGATTTCTTCTTCTGCATTTATTTAGGAAAACTGTATAAACACAACAAATCAGAAGTCAACGGAATTCACTCAACAGCTTCATGACTAAAGAATGGAATTCATCCCAGCAGCTACACAGACTTTGCCAAACATGATGAGCTGAACGGGTACCACTTCAAACAGTTGTAGTTTATAAACAACACATTGGAGTCCCTTTATCTAGAAAATCGATGAGATGAGATTGTAGATGGCATGGTTCTTAAGTGAGATTAAAATAAAACCCACAAGTAATGTGTAACTTCTGCCCTGTCAGTTGGTCAGTGTCCCTTGTAGGTAAAAACTCGGGAGAACAACATGTCCCCTCAAGGAAACCCCACCTAAATCTCCTCAGCAAATGCTCATCAGTGCTGCGAGGAAAACCTAGGGCAGACTTACTCCGAGGTGTCTTCTGACTTCACCCACAAGTATGGGAAGTAGAAGGCGACAGCCACAACTATGACAACCAAAGCGGGGAGGGTGGCTCCCACTGAGGAATTATTCCCAGGTTTTAAAGCCAAAACAGAGTATCCTGGAGTGTGAGGCACATTTTCTTTATTACCTCATTATTTAAGATTACACCAGAGCTGCTTGGGAAAGAATTTAAGTTTAAAAAAAAAAAAAAAGGAATGAAATTCTGACATAATCAACATGGGTGCCTCTTCAAAACATGGTACTAAGTGAGCTAAGCCAGACACATAAAGGCAAATTTTGTAAAATTCTACTTATATGCGTTACCTACAAGAGACTAATTCATAGAGACAGAATACAAAGTTACGAGGGTCTGAGAAAAGGGGACTGGAAGCTACTGTCTGATGGGCGCAGAGCTCCAGTGTGGATGATGGGGCAGTCGGAAATGGATGGTGCTGGTGGGTGTTTAGCACTGTGAATGGACTTTGTTCTCTAGGATGTAAACTTAAGAATGGCTAAGATGGCAAATTTTATGTTCTACTTACACAGTGAAATTAAGGAATATGAAGCAGTTTTGTACAGACAGAAATATTTTTAAATGGCCTCTCTTTTTGAGACAAGGTCTTGCTATGTACTCCAGGCTGGCCTTGAACTCATGGCAATGGTCTTGCCTCACCCTCCTGAGTGCTGGGATTACAGGTTTGCACCACCACACCCAGCTCTGAAAACTTCTAAAATAAATACAAATAAGCCCACACTTACTACCCACTAGGATGGCTAAAATAAAAGTGCAAGGCAGTGACAGGCTCTGGCGAGGGCGGGGGAAATTGGAACTCTCATGCACTGTTAGTTGGACTGGGAAATGGTGAAGCTGCTGTGGAACACACTTTGGCAGTTTTTGAAATGTTAAACATAGAGTTACCATATGATTCAGCAATTCCACTCCTCGTTGTTGGCCTAAACTGAAAAAAAAAAAAAAAAAATACATCCACACAGAGACACACACACAAATATTCATACAAGTACTATTCATAATTGCCAAAAAATTAGAAATGACCCAAATGGGCATCAAGTGATGAATGGTAAAACTATATGATACAATCATACAACGGAATGCTATTCAGCAATAAAAATATGATACAATCATACAACGGAATGCTATTCAGCAATAAAAAATAATGGAGTACTGTGACATGCTACAACATGGATGAACCCTGAAGACATCACGCCAAAGGAAAGAAGCCAATTACAAAAAACTGTGCAATGTACAATTCCACTTATATAAAGAACAGGAAGAGATCTGAGGCTGGTGGGAGGGGAAATGCAAAGTCCATGCTGCTAGATGCAAGAAAGTAGAATGGAGGCACAGGCCTATGTAGCAACGTAATGAGAAAGAAAAAGAACTGGGGAGACATACTTTAAATTGTTGCTGATAAATAAAAGCTGTGTGTATGTGTGCATGCTTGTGTGTGTGTGTGTTGTTTATTTGGAGAGTGTTGTGTTGGTTTGCTTTGCTTTTTTTGTTTGTTTTTGTCTTTTTGAGACAAGGTCTTGCTATGCAGTTCAGGCTGGACTTGAGCTTTGTAGCCCAAGCTGGCCTCAAACTCACAAAGATCCTCCTGCCTCAGCCTCCTGAGTGCCGGGATTACAAGCATGCACCACCACACCCGGCTTATGTTGGTTTGCTTTGGTTTGCTTTGATCTGGTTCAGTTTGGTTGGGTTGGGTTGGGTTGGGTATTTTTTGAGCAATGATAGAGGTAAGAATTATCCTTGAGCTGTTGGGCTGCTGATTATTTACTGACAAGGGGCTTCAGTAGCACACTGACATGGATCACATATGGATCCCGCCCTGACATCTCTACCCAGCTTTGGGCTTGCTTACCTTCACTGTGGCTGAGCACTTGAACTGGAACAAAGTGGACCTGATCTCAACTCTGAAAGTTCTTATGATCCCACTGGAAAGTCCAAGGAGGAGTGGACACTATTCGAGATTGGAACTAGAATGTGATGTAGATGAGATATGACTGCTTGGGAAACATTCTTGTGTGACTTCACTAAATGAAGCAAACCTGGATTGAATACATGCTAAACTCATAAACTACAAACTAGCAACCAGCTTTTACCTACTAGAACACACACAACTTCCTGAGAAAGAAAAATTCTTTTTGCTTTGGTTTGAATGAATGTATTTCCTAAAATTCATATGTTGAAGTCATAACCCCAACTTAATATTTAGAAGTAGGGGGCTAGGGGGTAATTATGATGAATGCTCTTTAGAAAAGAGGTCCCAAAGAGCTCCCATTCTACCGTGTGAGGACAGGGCTAGGTGTCATCTATGAACTAGAATGCAGGCCTTTACTAGATATGAGATATGCTGGCACTTTCCAACCCTTCAGAACAGGAAGGACTAAATTTCTGTTCTTTATAAGCCATCTGGTTTATGTATGCTATTTTGTTATAGCAGACTAAGACTAAAATAGACACTTTTTGAGACAGAAGGAAGCTAATGACAGTCACACTTGGATAGGTCATTGCCATAGAACTGACAAAATGTCTTGGAAACTGACAGTAGCCATAGAACTTGCTATCAAGAAGGCATAAGAACAACTGCTGCAGCTCTGGAAATACACAGAAAATGAGGTGCCACAGTGAAATGACACCCGTAGAACAAGCACTGGAGATAAGGAAATGCTGCCCACTAAGCTGAGGTTTATGGGGCTGACCTTGAAGATCATTCATGGATCCTACGTTGCCGGGGACTATATGATAGATACCAGTGTATCAGAGTATTATCTCGGAGGGTATTCCTGAGTGTGTTTATTGCATGGTGTGAAGGAGAAGAATGTCCTTGTTGTTAAAAAATACACAGGAAAGTATTTAGAGGTGAAATGTCAAGATGTTCGTAATTTTACTCTTAAATGATGTCTTAGTTACTTTTCTAATTGCTGGGACAAAATGCCTGACACCCACAAGTTAAAGAAGGAAAAGTTTATTTCAGCTCAGTTTATAGAGATTTTATTCTATAAGTTAGCTGGCTCCAAGGCAGGGCAGCATGGCAGAAAGGCATGGCAGAGGAGAGACAGTCCATGGCATGGCAAGCAGGAAGTAATAGCTGAAGCTTCCTTTACCTTTTATATTCTATCCAGGGTACAAGCCTATTGGTGGGTGCCACTCACACCAGTGTGGATCGTCTGTCCCCAGTAAATCCAGCCACACCAGAACTATGCTAAACCAATGAGTGAGCTAACTCTCTCTCTCTCTCTCTCTCTCTCTCTCTCTCTCTCTCTCACACACACACACACACACACACACATCTCCCTCTGTCTCTTTCTCCCCTCTCCCCCTCATATTAGAATATAGGAATAACATGCTAACAAACTGTATGAAGTATAAAAAGATATGCATTATACTATTCTTGCAATTCTATAGATTTAAATTTCTCAAAACAAGAAACTTGGGAAAGGGCTATAACTGACATGGATCCTATTAATAAAAAAAATTTGACCTCAAATGTGCATTTATTTATAAATTATATAAATATACTATTCCAAGTAACATATTCTATGTTTAGACTAGCAAACATGTAAAAAATTGAGAGCTCTCCATGGCTTGAATAAATATCTATTTTTACAAAAAAGTTACCTCCCATTGCAACAAAGAGATTCCCCTGCACAGGCAAACTAGCTCACTGCTGCTGAAAAACTATGGGGCAAAGTGGGAAGTTGCTGGGATGGGGATGCTGAATTCAAAACCTTGTATTAACAGAACAAGAGGTACAGTCAGCCTTCCCGTGCCAAATGGGCAAAAACCTCTGCAGTGGGCTATCTATTCAAGGTGGTGGGAAGCAGCCTGGAGAGCTAGAAGCAGGCTGAGTCGTGTCCTAATGAGAAGACTGTACTGCCAGGAATTTCTGAAAACTATGAGACTTTATCACAATCTGGAGGGCTGCCTGAACTATTATTGTCAAGAAGAGCAAGAGCAAGAAATGAAGGTCAGAACCAGGCCATCAGCACAGAACAGAAAGCCAGCACAGTGGTAGATGGATGTGGAGTAGGGAGAGACTAAATCACTTTCATTTATTTTTTCTTTGTTTCTTTCTTCCTATCTTTCTTTCTTTCTTTCTTTCTTTCTTTCTTTCTTTCTTTCTTTCTTTCTTTCTTTCTTTCTTTTTTCCATACTAGATTGAGTCTTTTCGTTGAGCAACATCCCAGCCCTTTTATTTTTTATTTTTCATTTTGAGACTAGGTCTTGCTAAATTGCCCAGCTAGGTTCAGACTTCTGACCCTCCTCCCTAGCCCTGGGTGTGCTGGGATTGCAGGCATAATGCTCCTGAGGGCACTTCTCTGAGCAGGACAGAAGTGGCTATAAACACCATGGATCAATGGGCTACTGAGCCTCCAGCAAGGATTGGGAGGAGTCCAGGTGCCTCCTCAGGAAAGAATTGTTAAATCTGATGCACAATTCTCTTAAGGGCCACCAAAGGAAAGGTGGTGATTACATTTAAAATCTGATGACATTTCTGGTTTCCCTGGAAGGTCTAAGTTTTCCATCAAGTGGTTTTCAAACCCTGCAGGCATTGTGCAGGGCTCTCAGGATGGGGTAAGGCAACACAGAGGGAGGCGATAGAGGCTGTGCATGCCTTGAGAGCTCTGAAGCGTTAGAAGAGGCGGTCCAGCAGAGGCGGTCCGGCAGAGGCGGCACCTACCCTCTGTGGCCACAGTGAGCGCTCCCTTAGGAGAATCAAGGCCTTGTCACCAGCCTTTGTGAACTCAAAGCTTGGCTGTAACTGTTATTGGATCAGAGCTTCAGTGACTGCCCCTATGCGTTCCCATCATGAGCTCCATCCTCAGTGACCGTCCACCTCCCCCACTGGAGTTTGTACAGGCAGAACTCCAGGCTCCAGGGTGTCTGGGTGCCATCTGGGCCTCCCACTTCTGCTCCCCCCACAGCAACTCCCAGTCAGGGTGGAGCAACCGAGGCTGGCTTCAGGGCTTCTACCCCTACTCTGCCACACCCCCAGGGCCATTCTGCAGGCCTGAGGTGGGCACTGAGGACATGCCCCTCTGATACTAACCCACCCACTATCCCCCATCAGATGCTCTCCTCCGATTCAAATATGTCCCTCCCAGGGCTGTGCCAGCCTCCCTTTCTCTAGGGAAATACACCTAATTCCAGGCCTTGGTCCTGAAGGTAGAAGGGCCTCCAGGGAAGGAAGCTAACAACCTGGAAGGGAAAACACGGTGGGAATATGCCCACTCCACCTGTCCAAGGAGCGGCTTAACTTCCAAAGCTTTTTCTTATTGGTCTTTTCCAGATTCAGAAACATTCCAAAAGTCAGTTTCCTATGAGCCAGGATGTTATTTTCTGCTGGTTTGGGATACGTACATCTGCCGGGTGTGCTGTGTGCATGTTAACTGACATATTACTGCCAGTGACGCATGTGCATGCAATTTAAATACTTTTACTAAGTCCCTGTACACTTTTATGTCTTTCTTCTCTGTATTCACTAGAAGTTGAACATCTTGAATCCAGGAAATATACCTCCTGACCCTTTACACAGTTATGTACTCCAACTGTTTCTTTCCTTCTTTCTTTCTTCCTTCCTTCCCCAGTGTGGGGGATTAAACCCAGCACCTTAGCACTGAGCTGCATATCCAATCTTTTTTTTATTTTGAGGCAGCATCTCTCTAAGTTGCCAAGTTGCCCAGGCTGGGCTTGAACTTACAATTCTCCTTCCTCAGCCTCTCAGAGTGCTGGGATTACAGGTGTGTGCCACCACACTAGGTGTGTACTCTGACACTTCTCCCAAACACAGTCCCTGTCTGATAAATCCCTCTATCATCTCTAATCACATGGTTACCTACACCTTGAAAAAATGTTTGGATTTTCTGTCTGTAACATCACTCTTTCTGGACTGACATTTCACACATTAGAGATGACTCTACCTGAAATATTAAAAGCGCAATAAGTTGACATAGAATTCTGACTTATGTAGTTCTCACCCTTCCCCACAGCGCTAAGAAACAGCAGGAACTTCTCATCATTTCTCTCCTGGTATTTTCATCTTTTGCATAAATTTTGATGGTAACTGGACAAATGAAAGGAGGGGATAGAGTCTGGTGCCATGGTACATGCCTGTAATCCCAGCACTCAGAAGGCTGAGACAGGAGGATTGCTGTGAGTTCAAGGCCAGCCCAGACTGCACAGCGAAACACTGTCTCAAAAAGGAGGAAGAATTTGATTGACTCCTACTAGTATTACATTGTTGAACTACATAGCTACCTTACACATCCTAAAATGTCATTTCCTCTTCTTGCTTATCATGACATTGATAAATTTGTCATTGAGAATTAGCAGTATTGAGAAAATAAATCAGTATTACACTAAAAAAAAAAAAAAAAGGAGGAAGAGGGAGAAGGAGAAGAAGAAAAAGGAAGGGGGAAGGAAGGGGAAGGAAGGGGAGGGGAGGGGGAGGAGAGGAGGAGGGGATGGAGTCACACACTTGCCTTAAGCTCATTGGTGTCAGCCAGCTTGGCTTTGAGCTCAGTGTTGGACTGGCGACAGGCACTCAGCTCCTTCTGCACCCTCTCTACCTTCTTCTCCAGCTTCCTGACAGTGAGATGGGCCTCATCCCTTTCCACAGCCAAGGCCGTACGCAGCTGCCTCTCCCCCTCCAGCTGGGCTATTTTCTGACGGAGGAGATTCATGTGCAGTTCTTTGCTCTCCAGCCTTTCTTTCTGAGTCTTTAACTGGTATGATATAAATAGGGATTGAAAAAAGTGCTAATCAAATAGTCAGTAAGTATCAATGAATCACCCAGATAACGTCAATTTTTATCTACATCTCGAGAAGACTAGGGTATAAACTATCAAAGAAGGTCACTGGGCACCTTTTCCTGATCACATTTTTTATTCGTATTTTTTCCAAGAATTAATTCTGAGGCTGCAAAGTTTTGAACAAAAGAGCCCCAGAAAGTGTGCAAAAGAATCAGCTTTACACACCTGCTTCTCACCAACATTAGTGCCTCATAATGGAAATGTGAAACTACTTTTAAAACTACCCAAGTAGGTTTATCAAGAGCAGACTACAGTGAGGCAGAGAGACAAAATCCTTGCCAACACTCGCTGGCACCAGTGTTCTCTGAAACAAAATAGGCCACAAATTAGTACTGCAACCTAGGCCTGCTAAGTGTAACCCCCAAGGGCTAGGCTGAGCGGCGACCACCGTGAGTGGAGATGCTCTTAAAGTAGGGTGTGCAGAGAAGATATTTAAGAAACCTTTGTGTACGTTTTAAATCTTAGAACTACAAGTGACGTCAAGTAAGTTTTAGTTCTTTGAGGTCTTCATTACGTTCCTGGCCTATACACTTACCCTGGCCATCAAACTTGCTGAGAGAAATGAGTGATGGTTTAGAAAATGACAGTGGATGCTAAGAGAGGAAAGGTCTTCCTTGCTGTGTCTAATTCCACTCTACTGCAAATTTACACTGGAAAGTTCTCTATACACGGGTGCTTTTAACAGTTATATCATTCTTAAGAAAGAACAGTATTGGGTATTAAGAAAGAAAATTAGTTATCTGAGGAGGACTTTGGGGGGAAAGAATTGTAGCTCAATTTGACATCCCTGATTGGATTGGTCTGCCTTCTTTCATAAAATATTCTTCCAGATATAGTAATTTGGGAAAGAGGTCAAATGTGAATTGGGGATCTTATATGAGCCAAGAGTTCAATAATGTTGTTGACTAAAAATTAGCAGTCGTGAAGGTAGGTCTCAGCACCATCTTGGTATAAGAAATAGAGAGGTATGTAATTTGCCCGGGCTCAACCAGCTTGGGAGAGCCACAGCAGGAACCCAGATGTGACAGTCACTGACTCTGCACTAGAACTCAAGCGTAGAATCTTCTAAGAACTATTATAAGAGCACATCTGTGTTTTCCTTTTTCTTTCCCCAATACCAATAACTGTTTTACAAATATTGATTTTTTTTTAGTAATGGAACTAGAACCCGGGGCCCTTTACACTGAGCTATGTACCCAGACCAACTAATAATTATATATATATATCTCTTTCATCTAGTCATTCATTTGGTCCCAACTGTTTCTAACTCTTTCTTTGAGTGAACGAAAAGTAAATCCTTCTCACTGTCCACTTGCTAGTGGCATAGAGTGTACAATCGCAGAGACAGCAGGATCTCCTCCTCTTCTCCCAAAGCCATGGCCAAGCTCTGTCTGCCAGTCTCCCTAGCTCCTAGGTTCAGAACGTACCCTGGCTAGGGGTAAAAGTACAGGGTCATGCAGCACATGCTAGGCACTTTCTTCAAAAGACGTCTCTTCCGTGTTCTGCACCTCCCTCTTCCTCACCCCCTTCTTCTCCAGCCTTCTGCATGCAACACAGATATAATGGTTTCAGGCACCATGCTGAACCAGGAGGCTAAGGACCACTCCAGGAATGGGAAAGGGGTGAGCTGAGATGAGGCTGGTTCTTAGAACAGAGCAGAGCCGCTATGCTCTGCCTATCTCCAGAAACACATGTGGGATAAGAAAAACCTTCTACTTCTTTCAGCCACTATTATTTGGGGCCTCTATTACACACAGTGAAAATAACCTTAGATGATACACACACTTACCAACTCTTCAGACCTGCAATGGAAACTTGTGTTCCATATAAGGATAGGTGTGGCAGCACATGTCTGTAATCCCAGCACTCTGGGAGGCTGAGGCAAGAGGATCAGAAGTTTGAGTCTTGCCTGGACAACTTAGTGAGACCCTGTCCAGAATGCAGAGGGCTGGGGGTGGAGCTCAGTATGAAGGCCCTGGGCTCACTACCCAGCACCACGAAAAACATCCTAAAAATATATCTTTTCAATGTGTTTTCTAGACACACTGATAAATATGGTAGAGGTCAACTGCTTTTCTTGCTTTTACAACATTTCAGTAACACCTACCTTTCTCTGTAAATTGTGGGCAATAGTCTTGTTTTCAATGACTGCGTTGCTCTCGAGGCGGACCAGCTGTTCTGTGCGAGCTAAAACTACATCCAGACGCATGTCAAAGCCAAGTTCAGCAGCCATCTGGTTCAGCTTCATTTTTTCTGAAAGCTGATCCAGAAATTTAAGATACTAAACAAAAATAAAAATGGGACACAAAAGTAAAGTTAATGTGGATCTCCTGGAATCTTCCTCTTTCTCCCAGGCTCACAGGTGGTTCTCTTTAAACCCAGCATGGAGCCTGGACTCTGAGCCCAGGCCTTGGTGATAAATTCCTGAACAACCCTAACCATTTCATTCTCTGCCCTGCTCCTTGTCCAAATGCTCTTTCTTGTCCAGGTCAGTGACCTTGGTGTTCAATCCAATATGGTACATTTCTTCTCAACCCTACCATGGGAAATGCGGCAACACCCCTGCTTGCATCCTCATCTCTGCTTTGGCAACATGGTGCTGCAGCTCCCAGGCTGACCCAGTGCCAGGTGGCTGCCCATCCACCACCTTCCAAAGGAGTTTTGCTCACCAACTAGGCCCTGGCTTCAAAGGTGGGAACTGCCACTCAACCAGTTAGCACTTAACTCTTCTTGGGCAACAGAGACAAACACAAAACAAAACGCTCCATACTTACAAAATTTGAATAATATTGTGGGGTTTTTATTAAGTTTATTGGTACATTTTAGATACACATAATGACCACATTCATCATAGAGAATTTGTACTCATACATGATATATTTTGATTTCTCCTTTTTTCCCAGTCCCCTCTCCTGTTTACAAAGTGTTGTTTCTATTTCATCTTTGATTTTTTAATCATTTTTTTCCTTTTCTTCCTATCCCCCTTCCCCTACCCTAGTTCTTCCCTTTTGAACAATTTCTTCCCATTTCACAATGTCTATTGTACATTTTGATCCTTATTTATTCTTTCAGTTTCTCACACTGGGGAGACAATGTGATATTTACTCATGTGAGTCCAATTTATTTCACTTGAGGGTATGATCTCAAGTTGCATCCATTTACCTAAAAATGCCTCAAACTTATCTTTCTTTAGGGCTGAGTAGTATTCTACTATATTAAAAAAAAAAAAAACCCACATCCTCTTTATCCATTCCTCAGTTGATAGGCATCTGGGTTGTTTCCAAGATTTATCTATTACAAACTGTGCTGCTATAAACATAGATGCACATAGATTGCTGTTATATGATGTTTTTAGTTTTGGGAGGATACCCAGAAGGGGAACATTGTGGGTTTTCTTAAGTTAAAATGCTTTCAAAAAGTTTTTAAATATGTTTAATGCCAACCTTGCACAGTAGCACACATCTGTAATCCCAGCTACTCAGGAAGCTGAGGCAGGAGGATTGTAAAATCAAGACCAGGTTAGGAAACTTAATGAGACCTTGTTTCAAATTAATTCAATACTATTAAAAGGGCTTGGGGTATAGTTCAATGGTAGAACCCTTGCATAACATACATGAGGGAAAAAAAACTTGCATGAGGTCTTGGGTTCTACCGTCAGTACTGGGGAAAAAGGTGTGTAATGCATCAAAGTTAAATGAACAACATGCTAAAATAGACTTCTGTGAAAGATGTCAAGGTTCTTAACATAACCAGCTTAGAGTTACTTCCTCCACTGGGCTGCTGGCTTATCTGGCTGTGCCCAGACCCAGAATAACGCTTACCAAGCACTCGCTGGCTGAGCAAATCAATCAATGAGCCCCCTGTATCATAATTGCATGCTTTAGTCCTTTGATCTTTTCTTCTCATGACGATAACTTCTCATCCATCTGGCATTTGTAGGCAATCAAATGTTTAAATAAGCATAATTTCCTGTGAGTCTAAGCATATCAGCCTCAAGCCTGGAACTATCTAGATTTCAGTTGTCAGGATGAAATTATCTGTAAGTGTGTATTTTCCAATTTTGTTAAATAGCATCCATATAAATACCATTTAATCTCTTGTTTATAAGTCACTGTCATTACAAATACCACACGTTGCTTTGTGTCTCAGTGCCATAGGTTGCTTTTACCAGTGCATCATCAGGTTATTGCCTCTTAACTCAGTGCCAGCTCTCCCTGTGGAATTTTTAATTTCTTGTAGTATCTGTAAGTGACAGCTGCTATCGTTGCGTTTTACATAATAGTCGGTGCCTTTTATGTGGAACTATAAGAGCCCCTTTACTGCATTTCTACATCGACCCAGCCACTTTGCCTGTGAGGATCTACAAGCCAAGACCCTGCAGAGAAAGAGTCTGTTTCAAGGATCTCAGCTATACCTCAGATTACAGCTGCTAGACGCATTTAACTTCATAGAAGCAAAGGAAGTTGAATCACTGCTTAGCATGAATAAAGAAATGGAGCATTCGACGCTATTTTGTGCTAGCCTAGCTTGCCTGCATTTAGTATTTAATCTTCACACAACTTTGTTTTTCAATTTTACCACATACCCGCCGTTGCTAGGACGTGCACTTTGTATGCAATTATCTGTGGAAAAGCCACTGTAGACAGAATTAGCTTACATAATGTGCTTTCATAACTGGGAGTTACTTTTGGCATAATCTCCATTAAAATTCATGTATATAGAAATGTAGTGATTCATTTATATAGAAAGGAAGGAAATGAAACCAATCCACCTGAAATTCTTCCCTTTGGTTTATTTTTTTTCTATAATTCACATAGTATTTATCAACTTTTTCTCTAGACCCTAGAGACAAGAAAAAACAATTTAAAAACAGACTTTCCTAAAGAAAGAATAGATTAAAAATGGAAACAAAGCTTTTATAAGTAAGGAGAAGAAGAAGGGTTGAAGGGAGGGGAGGGGAACAGGGGAAAAAGAAGAATCAAGATAGATTACATACAGGTACAAACTCCCTACTATGAATGTGGTCATTATATATTTATCAAAAGTGTACCAATAAAATTCATTTAAAAAAAGATTTCCCTTAACCCCAGTAAACTTGAGATAAATCATCATGGATGAAAATTGCTGTGACAAGCCATGGCATGGTGGCACAAACCTATAATCCCAGCACTTTAAGAGGCAGAGGCAGGAAGATCATAAGTTCGAACCTAGCCTGAGCAATTTAATGACTTAGAAAGTCCCTGTCTCAAAAATTAAAAATGAAAAGGGCTGGAGATGTAGCTCAGTGCAAAGGCCCTGGGATCAATTCCCAGGACCACTGAAAGGAGAAAAAATATACACTGTGATAGAGGCGAGCACCTGCTGCTTGGGGACCACGCACAAGCAGAGCTTAGTCTCTGGGAGGACACCCAGGAGAAGTGACATCTGTGCTGCACCTCGCAGAGATGGCTGTTACCAGGTGGGAGGAGAACATTATGTCAGGAGGAAGAGCTCCAGCGAGACCAGAGGAGCACTGCTAGAAATTGGAATGTGGGTGTCTTCAGTCTCAGCGTTTACCACACACCCTGCCAGCATCCTGCTGGTCCCTGAAGTCTTCTGAGTTTGCCCTCATTGGCTGGAAAGATGTTCAGGAAGAGATGTAAGGAGGAGAACTAGGCAGCATGCCCAGTGTGAGGCCATGATAAAAGAAGGAATCTGAACTTGACCCTGAGAGCCATAGAGAGCCATCAGCCACCCAATTTTCAGACAGGAAGTGAGATCAAACATGCGATTTACAAAGACCTCTCTCGCAGCTGTAAGGAGCAAGTCTTAGGTATGGTGGGCAGGCCGAGGAGGCCTATGAAAAGGCTCTCCCTGGAGTCCACACAAGTTAGATGATGCTCAGAGCCAGAGCCCCGCTACTGATCTAGACACAGGGTGGGTGGTGGTGGAGGCACAGTGTGGAGACAGGATGGCACTAACCACTAAGGCACTGGTTAGAGAAAGGGAAGAGGTGGGAAAGGCACAGGTAGGTGGAGGCAGACTGCCAGCATCACTGAAGCAGGACAGGCAAAGATGAGGACAGGTCACTTCAGTCCCGAATATGTCTAGGTTTTCAGGGACCATCTAGGTGGGGCTGTCCAGATTACCGTATTACACTCAGGTGAGGTATTTCTTTTCAAAATCAAAACCCTAACCAACACCTGCCTTCAAATATATAATGGAAAGAAAAACTCCACCCTCCCTTATTTCTTTCTTTCTTTTTTTTTTTTTTTTGGTTTTTCTCCGGTACCGAGAACCGAACTCATGACCTTGCGCTTGCCAGGCAGGCACTTTGCCGCTGAGCTAAATCCCCAGCCCCTCCTCCCTTATTTCTTGAATCAATTCCCTGACATCACTCACAGAACTACTGCTTGATCCACAACCTTATTATCTTCTGAGGTGGACTATTCTAAGAGTCTCCAGACTGGACTCCCTGCCTCTGGCCTGCGTAGCCTCTGAGCCAGTCTACTTTCTAAGCCAGGAAACTCTTTCACTGAAAACCCTTTTATAGCTTCCCAGTACCTATAGGATGAAACCACAGTAGTTTGCCTGGCCTTGCCCCATTATTCCTACCAGCCACCAGTGCTGCCCCAGGCTGCTGGCCTCACCAAAGCATCAGCCTCCATCTCCTTGTATCTGTTGCTTCCAAGGCCATCTTGTCAACCTCCATTTCTTCTTTTTCAGGCAGTTCTCTCCTCTGTATGCCTTCCTATCTCTTCTGCCTGACTGTTCCTGTTCCTTTAAGGTCCGTCTTGGTTACTTTTCTGTCATTGCTGGGACAAAATACCTGATGCCCAGAATTAAGGGAGGAAAGGTTTATTTAGCTCACAGTTTGTGGAGGTTTCAGTCCATACTCACCTGGCTCCAAGGCAGAGTGGCACATGGCAGAGGGCAACAGTTCATGGTGAAGACAGCAAAAGCAAGAGCAAAAAAGGGAGGAGCAGCAGAGAGCAAGTCTCTTTCCCTCCCTTATATTGCATGCAGGCTGCCCGCCCTAGGGCGGTGTAGCATTCACACCCATAGTCCCAGCATTAGACCATGAATCAATCATAAACTCTAGAAGCTCGGTCCATGATTGCATGAGGCTTTTGGGGGACATCCAGACATAAACCATAATATTCTGCCCCTGGCCGCCCCCCATATGTACCTCTTTATGCAAAAGGCATTTTAGTCCATCTCTAAGAGTTGCCAAAGTCCTAACAGTTTCAGCATTGCTGAAAAGTCCAAGTCTCCTCCAAGATCTAAGGCACACTCTTAGCTGTGAGCCCCTGTACAATGAAAAGCTAAACACTTCCAACATTCAGTAGCACAAGATAATCGTTACCATCCCAAATGGTACAAACAGGGAGATACAAAGCATTGGGAACAGAGCAAGTCCAAAATCCAGCAGGGAAAACATTAAGTCCTGCAGTTCCACGTGCAACATCTGAGGCAATCTGTGGCAAATTGTGAACTCCACATGGCTCCGCCTCTATGGCACTTCTGGTGGCTCCAGCTCCCATGGCTTCTCTCTTGGGCCCACTTTTCTCCCTCTTGCAGCTTTCCTCAGACAATCCACATTCCTGGCTTTTCCAAACTTCTAGGGTGTCCCCTACACCTTTCACTTCACATTGACAGCTTCACATGCTGCCTTCCCAGGGACACACTGCCTGGCCTCCCAGGCCTTCTGAAATCTAGGTGGAAGCCTTCTTAAGCTCAGAACTCCTGCGTTCTGCATGCGATTAAAACCACCACCATGTGGATGATGCCAAGATCTTCTGCCAGCTGGACCAGTAGCCAGGTTTTCCTCTCTCTTGGCTGTAGGGGTCAAGTTCCTGGATTGCTGAGCACTGTGAATCTGATTCTGAGGAACAAATTCTCCATGCTGCCACCATTCTGGAACCTGGTGGGGTCACTGCCATTTTGGAACCTGGTGTGGCCACCGCCACCATTCCAGAACATGGTGCTCTGTGGCTTTCTCCTCAAAGCAAAGTCTTTCACTTTGGCAGGTTTGAGACCACAAAGGGTGGAGACTTGCTGTTTCTTATGATGCTCTCAGGCCATCTTTTATATTCTCCTGTTCCTTCTCAGCAATCAAGATCTCAGCTCTTTCTTTGCAGTCCACAGCTTTACTGGAGCTTCCTTTCTGGCCAAACTCACAATGTTTTAAATCATCCTGCTGGGCTCTTTGCTCTTGATTCACAACATAAATCTGGCTAAAAGCCCCCAACAGTAGCCATGCCACTGCCCCAATACTCAGCTGCCTTGAAATTTCTTCTGCCAGATTAATTAGTCTGCCACCCTTAATTTAAGTCTCAAGCAAAGGACACAAGCAAAATGCAGATAAACTTTCTGCCAAGCCATAACATCATTGTCTGGACTCCAACAACCAATGCAGTCCTTCCCAGCAGAAACCTCCTGAACCCAGTATTAACCAGCAGCATGTCTATCAGCCTTCTGGTCTTCTGAGCTCTGATTAGAATCTCCCAGACAGAACAGCCCAAGGCGTTCCAGCATTTCTCTTTCAGGTGAAATCTCTGAACCTTTCCAAACACTTCCCACAAGCCATTTCCAATGGCTCTTGAATCACATGGTCAGGGATAGTCACAGCAATGACCCCACTTCTCTGGTACTAAATTCTGTCTTAGTTTGGGGTTTTTGCAAGGGGAACAATACAACACAGGACACATATTTATAAGATTATTTATAATAGTTACCCAAGGAATCATATACAAAGAGAGTGCAGGAAATCTGTCCACACACTAAACACCAAAGAATTCAGCTGAGGGCCTGGATCCCATGGCAATGTCCTGCATGAGTCCAGCTGAAGACCTAGAGCCCATAACAATACCCCCCATGAGTCCAACTGGAGGCCTAGAGCCCACGACAATGTCTCATACAGGCCAGTTTCATGGATCTGTGCTGGGAAGGCTCAAAGGTCAGTGGTGGAGCTAGAAAGTCTGTGCTAGTGGGATGAAGGATCTGAGCTAGCAGGCTGAGGGATCTGTACTGCAGTCAAGAAGCAACGCTCAAAGTAAGAACCAGAGCTCCCCCGAAAAGTAAAACAACCATCCTCAGCAACAGTGAGGTCTCACGCTCCTCTGATGATGAGAACAGCCAGGCTCCTGTCAGGAAAGCCAATGTGACAAATCTTTGTAGGGCTTCTCCAGGAGATTGAGTGGTACACCATCTTCTCCTCCAGAGCCAGGAAGTGATGCTCAAAGTGAGGACCAGAGCTCCCCCAAAGTGAACTGCAGCTATTCTCAGCGACAAGGTCCCAAGCTCCTCAGATGATGAGAATAGCCGAGTTCGTCAGGAAAGCCAGCATGACAAGCTCCTCCAAGAGAACAGCTCCTTGCAGCTTCTAACAGCACCCAAAAGCTTCTCAGCTCCCAACAGCCTCTTATGCTGCTGCCAACAATCCTCAGGTGGGACCCCCACACCCAGCACCATGCTGGTTCAGTTCAGCTGGGGGTTGCAAGTTGATCACCAGTTGTCAGTCCACCACAAGGCCCCTGTCAACTATTGCCTCTTCTGTGAAGAAGCCTCCTCTCCTCACACACGCACACACACTGAAATCAGAGAGAAGTCCTTCGTCCTTTTTCCAAGTCTTTGCCACACTTTACAACTATCTCTATGTAGTACTGGCAGGAGTGGGGCTGTGCTGATCTACCTGTGTCAGCCCCCGGACTGATTTCTAGACACCTTTCCCGCAGGGCTGCATGCCTACCACGAGACAGCATTGGGCTTCCTGGATTACTTTTAACTCTAAAAGAATTAAAAGGAGTCTTAAGACTACAGATTTTTTTTTTATCTAAGTGTATTTTACATGCCAAATTCTGCATCTGTGTTCTCAATGTCATTTGCTTCTTTTTCTCCTCCTAGCCTCTGTCCCACAGACTCACAACCCACAAGCCCTTACCTCCCTATCCTGCTCACGGGAAGATGTCTTTGACCCTGTTTGTTACAGATGTCGCCTTGTGCCTTTTCTTTTGCCCAGATTTCACAGTGGTCTTCTCGTGAGCCTGTCCCCCTCCCACTTCTAGTCAACCCTCAGCCCAGAGCAAGCAGGTTCCCTTCTCCATTCTACAAATTTGTGTCTTGAAGGTCACAGGGGATCTGTGCACACTCCGGGGGGACAGTTCTCCTCTCCTCTCCTCTCCTCTCTTCTCCTCTCCGCTCCTCTCCCACTGGTTTGGAGACACCATCATTTCTAAGGGTCTCTACCCTTCAGTGTCAGCCTTACAGTGACATCTCCTCTTTTTGTAACACAGTCATGCGTTACTTAGCAGTGTGGATGCTCTGAGAACTCCATTAAACAGCTTCATCACTGGAGTGAACATCACTGACTGTACTTTTCATAAACTCAATCGGCTTCAGTGTCATTAGGCACTATAACCTTATAGGACTGGTGTCACATGTGCAGTTCATCACTCACTGACACACCATTCAGCAGTATGTGACTGTAAATTACACTCATAATCACTTACCACACTTCGTGTTCCACAAAATAAAGAGCACTCAGTCTCCATGACACAAGCCATTGCACTATTCTCTATTGTCATTGCCCCACTAAGAATGCCACCTATGGACATATGGGATTTACAGCTCGGCATTCTCTGAACAAAGCATTTCAAAATTCCCTGCCCCTGTTGAAGCTGTTTCCAATGTAGCATTCACCCTTTCTCAGCACTATAATCCTACTTGTCCTTCAAGGATGAACATGATTATCTCCTCTCTTATAAAACTGTATCTTTATCCAGAAGTGCCTACAATACTTTATTAATGCAACAGTACTTTTACAGCAGAGTCTGTGGTACAGCAAATGACCTGAATGGTGTTTCTCCTGTTGAATTATGAAGCTTTGGAGAGCAGGAACTGTACATTATTTATATTTGAACCTCCCAGATCTTCAGGGAATATACACAATGGGTACTCAATAAATACCTATTATGGTGGGGATCCAACATATCCCCGCAAATGGTCCATCGTGTTGAAGGCATGATTGCTGTTGTGCTTTGGGAGGTGATGGGATCATGGGGGCTCTCCTCTTAATCCACAGATGAGATCATAATTTAATGGTATTTGGGGGAAGGTGATGGAAATAGGAGATGGGACTTAGATGACGGAAGTGGATCATGGGGTGTGATAAATTTTATCATCAGCCTTTCCTTCTCTTTCCTTTTTTTCTGCTTCCTGGTTGCCATGACATGAAAGTTTTCTTCTTCCACACCCTTAACCATGGTGTTTCTCCCTCTCCACAAGATTGAAAACAATGGAGCTAGCTAACCATGGACTGAAACCTCTGCAACCCTGAGCCCAAATAAATCTTTCCCCTTTTATATCGTTTGCCTAGGTATTTAGTCACAGCAAGGAAAAGCTGACTGACACTGTACCTACCAACTTTAGTGGAATTAATGGAAGTCAAGGAAGATCCAAACAATAGGAAGGGACTTATCACTCCTTGAAATTCATTCATGACCCAGGGTACATTCAGTGTAAGTCCTGCAACACCCAGAACATTCTCAAGTCAAGTTCTGAATGACCCAGACGCTTCCACCCAGGCGCACAGCCTCAGGGTCTTACTTTTTGTTTCTCGAAATTCAAGTTGTCTCGCAGAACTTCTCCAGAAACCAGCTCTCCCTCCAGGTCTGTCAGCTGGCCCTGAAGAGCCTCCAACTTGTTTTCTGCTTGTTGGGCCCTCTGTAGAGTTTTCTGGTGAGACTCAGACTCATTTCCCAACTGTTCAGCAAGCTCAGATACTTGAGATTCAAGCTGGGAGACCATCTGGAAACGAAGACACAGTACAAGGATAAGCCTTGTTTGAGATGCAACAAAGTGTTAAAATCTAGCTCTTAGCCCGAGTAGCATAACTACTTCTCACACCCACTTCCAGATTCTTGTAAAAATTAAATTTAAAAAATAAGTCACTGATAGCCCTATTTGCTTCTGTTCGAAATAAATCTACATTCATTATTAATAAAATGTTTTGGGCTAATATTTTTTGTTTTTATGTAATTCCTTCAACAGACTAATCAATAAATATTTACAGATAAAATTTACTTACCTCCAAAACTGTCATTATTTTAAGAGTTTCAAAGCTTAGTTAGGAAACAGAATTAAGACAATAAATATTTTCAAAATCTACAAAAGAATAATTTGCCCCAAAAACTGCTTCACCACATACAGCTGATTAAAGACTATACAGTGAATTGATCCTGATAATCTAACAGGGAATTCCAGTGAAGAAATAGATTTTTTGCAACCTTGTATTGCGTATCACTTATTCATCCCCTACACTCCAATGTCATTGACTTTACATGACATAGTTATACAGCGGTTTTTATCATTTGAAGGGCCAAAATCTCTCCGATATGGTGATATCCTATAAGCAAGCAAAAGAATCCAACGGCTATCCTCTCTCCTGCCCTATAAAACCAAAGGCCCTCTGCTAAATTCCCCTAAGGCTCCCTATTCAGAAAAGATGCCAATATTTCCACCCTTCCCAAGAGTCCCTCTCTGTCTCAACTGTCCTGTCCCCTTAAACCAAGAGCATAAGTGTATTAGAGACCTAAAGAACATTTTCAGATTCCCACGCTGATTTTGTTAAACTCAGCTTTTGTCAGATATTGAACTCAATAAAACTAACATACCTGGGATGAAAAACCTGTTTCTTTTGATGGTTTATTTTGGAAGAGGAAGAGAAAAGAGTAGATATTTACATAACATGACACCGCTGAATAGGGTGAAACATCTTGACTGGTTCAGCCTTTTTATAGTCTAAATTTTAAAAAAGAATACATCTTCTGCCTGCCTATCTATCAACCGCCATGCTTAAAGGCAAGAAGGTATTTGAGTTACCTCAGTTTTCTGAGAGGTTGCTAGATGAAAAATAGTGAGATTTCATCTGAGTTACCCTCAGAATTTAGACTGAGGACCTACAGGTATAAATCAAAGAAGGAATTCTATGCCTTTTTAAGAGAAAATTTCTCTCCAGTCCCTCTAATAATAATGGTAATACATGCCCATTATAAAATATTGAAGGCAAAAATGTATAAAGAAGCAAAAAATTGCCCCATGATACTATTCCCCACAGGCAACAAATGTTAATATTTTAAAGTAATTCGTTAGGGATTGTTAAAATATCAATGAGATTATATTATGTATGCAACATTCTGTCTTTGTTTCTATCTGGTTATATTTTAAGCATCTTCTTGCCCCATTCAAAATTCTTTTTGGTCGGGGGAAGAGAGTTTCACTATGCAGTTCAGGCTGGCCTTGAACTCATCAGCAGTCCTCCTGGCTCAGCTTCCCAAGCCCTGGGATTACAGGTATGTGCCACCACACACCCAGCTACCATTCAAAATTCTTAATTAATATTTTAATGCTGCACTAAGAATCTATCATGAGGTTGTGGAATGTAGCTCAAAGTAAAGCATTTTCCTAGCATGCAGGAGCCCTTGGTTTCTATCCCCAGGACCTAGAGAAAGAATCTATAATGAGAATGTCGTATAATTTACTTAAGCATTCCTTTGTAGGAAAAGAAAACCTTCCTAGAGATTAAGGCTGTTTGAAGACACCATCCAGTTGGTAAAGAATTCCCAGTCACTAGAAATGGCCAGAAGTGGGCCAACTATTTAAGAATTTTACATTAATGAAGAGATATGCGGGAAAGGTTAGGCCAGATGAACCCTAAACTCTTTAATCCTGTACTTTTATGGCTTTCAGGGTTTCTGACCCATAATTTACTCAAGAGTGTGTGTGTGTGTGTGTGTGTGTGTGGGTGGGTGTGGGTTTGGGTGTTAGAGACTGAACCCAGGGCCTTTGTACTGCATTACATCCCCACCCCTTTTTTATGTTTTAATTTGAGACAGAGTCTCACTGAGTCACTCAGTCGCTCAGGGTGTGCTAGTATTTGCAATCCTTCTGCCTCAGCCTCCCAGAATGCTGGGACTACAGTTGTGTAACACCATGCCCGGCTAACTTCTATGGGAACTTAAAACCAGATGTTTGACAGTACCCTGTTCAGAATTATATTTCCCAAGGAAATTGTCAATGTCCTTACAGAATATAAGAAGCTGAGAAGCTTCATTTCGCATTTACTACTCTTAGTGTTCATTAACAATAGATCTGCTCCTAGAGCAAGAGATACGATGGATTGTCCAGGCCCAGCACACAAGGAAAATTGCAGAAAAATGGCCATACATCAAAGTCCACAGCTGCCCCCTCCCCAGAGAACTGGCTCATGTCATTCAAGGTTTAACACCTGCTTCACATGGAACTCCAGGGAGGGAGGGACTCTTTCCACCAGAAGAGCCATCAACACTTGGCCCGTGGCATTGGTGACCTAGCAAAGAGAACAAAACCAAAGGGAACACAGACCCAGAAAGCTGGGCTGGAGGGAGGCAGATGGGGTCACTCAGCCCTGTGCAGAGGCTGCAGCCCTCACTCGAGGAAAGAACAGCCTTCCTTAGACATCATCAGCAAGGGCTCCATCCTGAAGATGGCCCCGAGCAGACACTAAGTTAGCCGGAGGGAGGGAGGAAGAGCCTGGGAGAGTCTCCGTGGGGGGCGGGGAGTCTGGAGTCAGACAAGACCGATTCAAGCCTCAACAGCCCTGCTCACCGGTGTGTTACCTGAAGCAAGCAATTAGCCTCTCTGAAGCCCACAGATGATCAAATGAGCCTATCTAGATCATCTCAGGAGCAAACCTGAGCACCAGAAAAGATGTTCCCTGCTTCGGTCCCCTGTGAAGCCACACCTCCTACTGTGCAGCAACACGGTGTCAAACCTTGGCAACAGCTGCCAGGGGAGGCAGCACCTGCGAGCCTTGCTCCGCGTCCGTCTCTTCCTGCAGGTTACCCTGTATGCAGGACCAAGCTCAGCACACTGTGTCTGCTCATTAACAGTAAACCTATTGCAAACCCCACTGAAGTACAATAAAATGCTTCCAACTTTGCCGTCAGTATTACCGCCCTGGGGTGTGGGCTCAGCCAAGGACCTGCTCTTTCCGTTAAGAACTTTTCAGAAATCGTCCTCGTTGTGTTTCTCAGATTATTTTCAACTGTATTTCTGTCACCTAGAAGTATTTCTGGAAAGGACACATAAAGGACAAATGTGCTTGAATCAAAGGTAAGAGGGTCCCACCTGTATGTTTGCCCTCTGTGGACCCAGAGGTGTTCCAAGGAGCCTTGAAGACCCTACAAGTGTAACTTTTAACATCACTAATACGTACAGTTGAACTATACAGAATCTACCCAACTGCCATGCCAAGATGCTGGAGTCTTTTCGCAGCAGAAGTAACAATAGCTAAATCTTTAAGGTACTGTGTCCTGTATGTCCATAAAAAGATGAATGACAGAAGATGTGCTATATGTGCAAAACGGAGTACTACTCAGCCATAAAGTGGAATAAAGTTGAGTCATTTGTAGGAAAATGGATGCACCTTGAGACCATAGTGCTAAGTGAAATGAGTCAGACGAACAACCCTAAATATCGCATGGTTTCTCTTATATGAGAAATCCAAGGCACAAAACTTTAAAGAGCAAAATAAAAGAGAGACAATAAGAAACAGAGAGATGATATTTTATAAGTGGAAACAGGACCAAGAGTAGGAGGGAGTGGAGAGGGAAGGAAGAAGGAAAAGAAAGTAAAAAGAATTAAGAAGTGTTCAGTGACATCTCTACATGTACCAACTCCTCACAATAAATGTAATTACTATGTACTACAAACATGTACTAATAAAATTTTTTTAATTAACCCCAAAAAAAAAAAGAGAGAGAGAGATTCTGGATTCCAGAGAAGAGCAAACATCTAAGAACCTCCCTACCCCATCACATAGCTTGGTTTCCTATGATTATTTATGTGTCGGGGTACATAACACTACCAGGTTTGTTCAGAGCTAAATTTACATAAATGTGTTCAGATCTATGAACACTCCCATCTGACTGTTCCTGGGAATGTCTAATGCCAGTGCCTGAATGACGAGCATATGTGTCCACCAAGACTGGAAGCACATGTTGTTTTCACACTATGAAGTCTCAGGCATCAATAAGCTTGTCCTTCATTTTTTTCTCAGTATCATCTGTTAATATACACCTGACATTCTTGGGGACAGAATGTGTGCCAGATTTCCACCCTGGAGACGTAGGCCAGAATACATACCTCAATTTTTTCAAACAAAAAAAGGCCCTGCAGTAAACTCTGCTCCAGGCATAAGCAGCAGGGTTTGGGGAAGTGAAGTCATAATGCCCTAACAGAGTTGATTCTTCTCCGAAGGACAAGGACTTGATTTCACCAGAGAAGCATTTTGCTCTAAGATTAAACCAAACAGAAGCAGAATAGCTTTAAATTGAAAAAGAGCTTCCTAGGTCACTTAAGAACCACAAACTTTGGAGCATAAACAAGTCTGCTCTGATTATTCAAGCTTTGATTTTCGCTTAGGAAGTACATAGAAGTCCCAGGTACCAGAAACTCAACATCAAACCAGTCCCCTTCCTTCTGGCCTGAGTGCATGGAGCATAGTGCTGACTGGCTGGCCCTGCCCCTCCCCCTTTCCTTCTGTCAACTTTCGTTGTGGGTGGAGCTGGGCAGCCCAAAAAATAAACATTGAAACACTCCATACTTCAAGAATGTGACTTTGTTTAGAAATGAGCTCCTTGCAGAGATAATCAAGTTAAAATGAGGTCATTAGCATGGGCTCTAATCCAATCTGACAACATCCTCATGAAAAGAGACAATTTGCACACAAAGTCAGATATGCATAGAAATTAGAAGGTATCCATAAG